CAAACAGAGGCAGGCGAGGAGAGGGGCATCCACTTCAGAACACGTCGCTCGATGTCGTCTCGAAGAGGGTCGGGCCCAATGTCTGCACGGAGAGACGACGCCAACTTCGCTGGGGAAGACCAAGTAAGGAGCCGTTGGGTTAATCGCCCGAGCCCGAAAGAGATGCTTGGCAATAGTTCTCGGCCATGAACGACAGGAACGACTTCGCGAACCAACCGCGGGATAGCCGAAGCGGCTGCAAGTCAATTGGAGTTCTGCACAACTCGTCTAGACGCCTCTGGCACCGACTCGACGCCTCCGAGTCCTGCGCTGTTCTGAACGCGGGACACGTGGGACGCAGCCATTCATTGAGCGCAGCGCCCTGCATGCCTGGAAGACGTCATCATTCCTGCAATGAAACTGCACCTCGGTCCAGCATGAAGGATCTGAAGAGCCCCTTCTTCCGTCTGCAGCAGTTGGGGGGTCGGCCTATGAAACTGCAAAACATAGCCCAGCACTGAAACAGCCCGGACATTGTAAGCTACAGTAGACGCAGCTAGCCCAGCACCCACCAGACGGATCTTGCAGACCCGGCGGAAGAAATTATCCTGCTGCGTGGGAAACGAGTAGAGGCGAGCATCAGGGCCCGCACTAAGCCCAAGATGCCTGCACCACGTGACCACAGAGTTACGCTCGCAACCTCGCCCCAGAGATAGAAGCAACTGAGAGAAATTCTGAACTTGCTGCGGACAGACCACTCGGATAATGCATGTCCCAAAGTGCAACTCAAGCCCGATAGCCCCAGCTAGAAGACAGAGCTGATCCAAGAGCGGCGACAAATCGGTAAAGATACTGGCCAGCCAGCACCTCAAGTCGCCGGCATTCCCTGAGAGCCTGAAACCCACGGGACTTGTGGCATTCAGCCAACGACACACTGGGTCCAGGCAGAGGGCGAACAGGAGCATCGATGCAGGGCACCCCCGGCGAACGCCGCGCCCAACCGAGAAGTGGGCCAACACGACGCCGCAGAAGTGGACCAGAGCGGCGTTATCCTAAGTGCACGGCCCACCTCGGACTACATCTTAATGAGGGCGAAGAGCAGCCATTGGATCATCAACCTCGGGAAAGCGGCGCGACAACCGGTAAAGAGCTGCGTTGCTTTCTCTTGCCCCTCAAGGTGAGCGCAGACCCCATCTTCTCCACGCCCAATGATGTTCTCCAATATCGATCGACCAGAGACACCACCAGTCTGACTGTCTAAGAGAGAGCGCTGACCCAGCAGAGAGAGAGGCCGAGCCATAGCAGAGGTGACAAGCTTGCAGTCTGTGCAACCCATTGAGAGCAGACGAGTACCGGATGGCATTCTAGCGGGCACCGCCGATGCATCTGCGGGGTGATCCCCTTTGACCAGGAAGACCATGAGCACCCGATGGAAGTTAGCAGGGTGGGGGCCATCAGGATGAGCGATGCACTGCCGATAGAACAGGCAAAGCTTCTCCTGAGCTCCTGGAATCTCCCAGCAGCTATATGGCACCTCATCAGCACCCGGCATAGAGTCATCCGTGGCGTTCACCAAAGCAGCAGACGCTTCTTGATCCAGGATCCACTCCAGGCCAGGGTAGACGTCCGAAGCCTTCTGAATGAAAGGTTCCAAGGAGCCCCAGAGAGAGCGATCGGGTTCGACTGAAGCAAACATTCCACCCTCATGACGCGCGAGCTCATGCCCTGCGCGCGCAAGAGACGCACAAGGAACACCAGTGTGCTTCGTGCAGAATATGACCGAGACGGACAGTGGTGTTCAATGAGCACCATCGTTCGAGATTACGCTGCACACGCGCACGCCGTCGCTGCAACTCACGCCCGGGAATAGAGGCGGCCCGCTCAATCGCAATGTCTTCATCATCCAAGAGAGCGCTGTTGAGAAAAGCAATGTGCGCGAACAGGCCTGCATCGCCCACCAGAGCACACGCGTCAACATCAACGCAGTCAGAGAGAGCGGGGTGATCCCGCACAGCACGGACTAGAAGATAGTGAGAAGAAGGACCAGCTCGAAACGCACGAAGGGCGGACACACTCGAGTGAAGAAACTCGTGGGTCGTAGCGGCCTCTCTGCATCGCAAGACTTTCCGAAACCCGGAGCGGGCCTTATGCATCGCCACCTCCCTCGGGCCCCAGATTGACGTCAACCTCTGCGAGCCTTTCAGCAAGGATGGACTGGCACTCCCGTGTTCGAGGGACCCAGGCAGAGATCGGGGGGCCCAGGGCCTGGTCGAGGCATAGGAGCAATCGTGGCAACGACAGAAACGTGGCCCGAAGGATTCAAGGTTGGCCGGCATACCTGTAGTAGAACCAGTGATCGCGAAATCGTTCGAGACAGACGGGCGCGCACTGATGTAGACCCGATCCAACCGAGCGGCCCCCACGATCTGCGCCCCCTGGCAGGCCCGACGAGTATCAAGAGGCTGGTGCAGTTCTGCGAGCGATCCAAAGCACTGATTCCACTCCCGAGTGTGAGCAGTGCCCCCACGAGTGAAGGCGCCCGACTGAACCTGAAAGCGACCCTCGTTACTGAACGCAAAACTGAAGTCTCCGAGGATAAGATTCGCGGCAAGAGAGGCAGAGAGGAGCGTCGACTGCAGACGGATCAACTGCTGACGATAGAGACCGATGCCGACATCAACGTTCGGCAGGTGGACCACCGCAAACCCGGGGATCCTAGAGGAGCCCCAGCCCAGGACATCATATATCTTCCCAGAAACCACAACTTTATAAGGGAAATCGGTGAAACACCCAGCAACGCGCCTCTGAGTACACAACAGGACCCCATGACCAGGAGTGTTCAGCGGGCGCGGGTTGAAGAAGAAACGATGCTTGGGGAATTCCTTCTGCAAACTGACAAGGCCCCCCTTATGGCCGTGAGATTCCTGGGTGCACACGATCTGGTGACGCCTGATAAGAGTAGAGAAAAGCTTCCAACGCTGACAAGACCGACGCCGCATACTGGAGACGCTGCCGAATAACCCCCTGGAGTTCCACGTCACCGCAGACAAAGATGCTGCAGGCAAGAACGGAAGGAATGAATTCTGACTGGCGCCCCCTCAGTCTTCGCTGCGCCCTTGCATAATCCCCAACGCCCAAGAGAGAGGCCATATCGAAAGTGATAGTGCCTTCTCGCTCAGGCATTGCTGTTGGCGGGCCTGCGGCTACCGTGTCACTAGAGACGCAACTCTCCGAGCACCTCTCCCACAATCTCCTGCAACTTCGATTCCTCAATCTTCAGGGCCTTGAACGCACACGGAAACGAAGTGACTTTCGGCTTCGCGGTATCGACACCTGGCTTCTCGACCTGGAAGAGTTTGCGGGTCCCACCTGTCTCCCCATGCTCCACATGTATAAAAACCCATTCTGGGGAGCGGAACGGAGCTCCCACTCGAGGTCAATGAGAGGTTCGAGAAGCCTCCTGATTCTACCGATGACACTGAACTGCTCATTGGTGGCCTGATCTCTGAGCGGCTTCAGACGGAGCGAAACCTGACCGCGAGGGGTGTCGAAACCGAAGCCGTCGGGGAAGTGCTTCCGACAGCATCTGCGCGCTCTCTGGACGTCCGACACCGAAGGAAAGGCAATGCCACCTTCATCGCGAAACTCTGAGGAGTGACCTTCATGTGCTGCTGGACCTCAACTGCCGCACAATAGGAGAGAATCGCATCACCAGCCTTCTCAAGAATCTGTTTACTAAACTCATCCTTGAAACCAGCCAAGATTGCTTTGAACTGGTTCGCCTCCGAGGAATTATGAAAAGTTCTGGACATAAACGAAACGCCACCCACATAACGAGCTTTCTTACGATCTGGAGCCGAGCCCCCCATAACCATCACTGCTCAAACTTTCACAATTGTCTGCATCACGA